TGCTTTGTTATAGGATAGTTTGTTTCAATATTGATGTTGTAATTTGATTTTCAAGACAAATGAGTACGGGTCGTGTTATATTTATATTAACGATAAGTTCATCAGGTGTCATTGCGTGTAATACTGTACATTACGGTTGCGGATTTTGAACAATTAATTTGTCTATCAAACAGATGCAAATGAAAAACGAAATGTACAGTATTATCACCTTCACACTTTGGGTCTGACAACCTTTAATACTTTCTTTAATACAATACAACAAGAGTTGTTATAAGTGTTACCAAATTTCAAATCAAACATACTTAATAAACTGGTCGACGATCAAAAATTATTTTAACGCTTCTACGAGATGAAGAGTTAATTATCTTTCTGTGGTATTATGTTCACTTTGTCTGTTTTTTGTTGCAGTCTGTCCTCCAATAATTTTATTCTTGAAAAGCTACATCAAATAGCGTAAAATATACTTCTATTTGTACCATCGCCTTGAATTCTCAAACAAATTATTTTATGGTCTCGCCCCTACTTTTTACTTTTTATGTCCAACCAATCACGTTTTGCTCTATGCGGGGAGACCCGTTGAATAATATTAATATCATGTGATCTAGTTTTTCGCCGCTCAGCCATATATGGTGATGGCGATGTCATACTGATTACATCATCTATTCTTGCAACAAATGATGCAAAAACTAGCGTGCAGTTGAAGTTCTGATTGGTGTAATCGAAAAAAGGGGGTATTTGCTACTTTCCCACTCTGTTCCCACAAATAGCCTCATCCCGACTCCCATCCCCTCCCCCACGCCAACTTTGAACGTCACCCACAACTCTTCCCTTTGCTGCCGTCACTCACACAAAAAACGACGACGTCGTCAAAAATTGCTTGACGAAACGCGACTTTTGGAATAATTACTACTCTTATCTTTAATTGGGTCAACTTGATTATTTGTTCATACTTTACTCTAAAATATTAATATTATTCAGCTGACTTAATAGTATCTATTTAATATATTATAGATACTCTTTAGAGTAACGTAAGTAGATAATGTCGCAACAAGACGCTACCCAAGTACAGACACAGACTGCGGTTGCTGACGACAGCACTTCAAGCATGCCTGCCAAAAATGTATCCAATGCGAATGTCACAAGTATCAACGCTACTACTACTATCATTGAACAGCATTCTCAACAACAAAGTCCGACGCAACCAGAAAAGACATCAAATTCTTTGAAAAGAGTCCCTACTGACGGTGTGGAAAGAGGAGACAATAAGCGGAAAGTAAGTCCAAGGAATATTCGCGAAGCAATCAGTGATTCGGCTACTCTTGCTGATAACGCAGCAGCAGCAATACTCACAAACGTCAATAATTCGTCAACGACACAACCAACCTCTACTTCCCAGACAGTCCCTGACCCTACACAAGTCATGCCCAATCATCAACAGTTTGCCGAAGTTATATCTGCCGCAACAAGTTTAGCTAACCAACTAAATGCTCCTATCGCTGTTGCTCCCATGCCAAACATGAACGCATTGACAAATAATGTCATTTCTAGTCAATCCCAAGGAATACCTGCAAATATGGATGAGTTTTTACAAAATGCTGCTGCCGTTGTACAGGCTGCACAGGCTCAGCAAGTCCAACCGGAGGCAAGCCCAGGCAGTAAACGTAATACCAGTTTACGCAATCTAACCAATGATGAGCGTCGTCAACGACGTCTATTGCGCAACCGTGTTGCCGCGAAAGAATGTCGTCGCAAGAAGAAGGCTTATGTGGCCGAGCTAGAAGAGAAAGTTGCGCGTCTTGAAACTGAAAATTCTCGACTTCAGAAACTGGTTGAAGAGCTGAATGCGAAAATAACATTAAGTGCCATGCGTATTGATGACAATGTTCGACTAATCAAAGAAGTTGAAGAGCTCAATACAAAACTTGCAATGACTGCTGCTATACAGCAAGAAGCTAAGAGAGATATCAATACTGAAGGGTCAAAAGAATCGACAGAATCAAAGCCGTAGCTGCATTTTAACTATTAATGTGATTCTTGTACTTTCCTTCTAACTATTATCTTGTAGTATATAATCATACTACATTAGCATTATATTAGAGACGTAGTATATGAGTAGTCTGTTAAAAAGTCATATTGTCTGGACAATTCTCACGGCCGCGATTAGTATCGCTTCTCCTGGAATTGATCCAACTTGGCTTGATCGAGTATATGTACATGTATATACAATTATAAGTAATCAAGTAGTTACTAGCTTATATGCTTTACAATATACAGTGATACTTGCTGTCTGCGTGATAGTCGATATTGATTTGATTAGAAGTAGAGTTTTAATACCAATGCACAATATTGTCGGTTGATTGAGAAAGTGTCAGCTTGGTATCAGCCATTGGATTTAATATTTGTGAGAGGGAGTGGGGTGATAATTAGGGTTTGATGTTAACTGCACAGAATAAACTCTCTAAAAGTTTTGATAAGTTGTAATTCTGTTATGCTGGTGTAAAAGCTCAATAACCGAACGTTACGCAGAAGACCAAAATGCGCACTCAGCACGTGTGATAATCTTTTTTTTTATTGGGAAATTATCCGGAAGATTTGCCTGATTTTTTGCTGAAGATAGATTTAGAGTGATTTTAGTGAAACCCTTTGTCTTATTGGCAAGTTTTAAAAGAATTCTTTCTGAGCTAAATACAGATGCGGTTTGTTCTCCCTCGAGGTGTGTTGGTGCACACCGGTGAAGAATGGTGTTGCTAATCGCTCAAAGGCTTTTACTTGGGAAGGTAAAAACAGGCTATCAAGATATGTTTCCCAGGTTTCTGGCCCTTCTCATAAATTTTTTGGTTTGTCTGCAGATCGCCTGCCGATCACTAACCCTAAATACATCAAACTGCATGATATGGATCAACGTATAGTCATAACGCTTAATGCAATCAGTCATTTTACAATCACAACAGTGTACCCACCATACGATATTCAATCTTCAATCATAACAATGTACCACTGACAAATAGTCTTCGTTAATTAAAAGCATTAGTTATATAACAATGTATTTTACATATGACTCTAAGTGTCCGAAACTCATGGAATTTATCAAACATAACTTCCACTTCTATAACAATACTTTGGTCAGAAGTTTGAAGAAATGCTTGCTGTATATATCTCTCTAAAATTATCGTCTGTGTCTCATATTTGCAAAATCGAAATGGGTCAAATCCTAGAATGGGTCATAACCAAATACAGCGACACCTCCATAAATGCAACCTCCATAAGTGCAATTCTCCCCCAAATGCAACACTTTTCTCGGAATAAATGTTATTTGTTGCGGAAAAATGACAAATCTGTTTCAATACTTCAAATTTCAAACATCACAATTCGCGCGCGCAACATTATTTGTTATAGATACAGTTTTACGTGTTCTTTTTTCAGTGTTTGAGTTTGATCCTGTTTACAATAGCTTTGAAACAGCAGAAGGATTTCAACTGATCAAGTTGTGCAAAGGAAGGATTCTTTGCTAGTAATGAAACTCCAATAGTGAGTGCTAATGAAGCACTAAAAAGTTTAATTCAACAAGAGGGTGGCAGCTATTTAAAAGCCACCAATAGTTTATTTGCGAAAAATGGTATAACACAATCTTAGTTAACAATTAGAGATATTATAGTCAATCCTTTTATGTAAGTTAGCTGGAAATTATAAGAAAGGAAAATTTGTTTAATCGACGTAAATTGTTAAAATCGCTTTCCTATTAAGGAAATGCAAAAACCCGTAAATGCAACAAACACTTGGGTACTTTGTTTACTTGAAATGTAATCTAATCACCGTAGAGAAATGGAGATACTGTACGTTTGTAGCTAACAGATCGGGACATGTGTGTACATTTACAACGTCATTATGTGTAACATCAGGAGAGGGTTGACTATAATTTATTTCATTCAAGTACTGTACTTTCATTTATTTCAAGCTTTTTGGGGATATATCTGAGATGGGATATAACTAAGGCATAGTGTTTCAAAATTCTATCAGTGACGTTTGATGTTGATTTTGTGACGGCCTGGTTTTATTACATGGCCTGATTTATGTCCCGATGTGGTGAATTTGTGACTTGATTTGTGATCCGATTTTATTATTATTATACGGGCATTATTATTATGACTCGTCCTGGCGTAACCAAATGAAGCAAGTGATCAAATATTCTAGCACAATATTCATATATATTAATATAGTTAAACAAACTTACTTAATATAATTAGGGAGGTTACGTTGGAAAATTGGGGATATACCCTGAGTGGGATATAATGAGGTAGATTTATATGGGATACAAATGGGGGGAGATATAATTGACTATCAAACGCGATAAATATTCAGGCTATGAAAATAGAGTAGCACAAATATTTTGAAATACGTGGTAATTGAAATGTGCAATCCATTCACGATTACATTAACGTTTGGGCGTCAGGAATAAATAGAAGTAGTGGATACAAGATCCAAGTGCGTCGCAGCTAACCGTTGGCTTGTCGTTTACATGTACCTTTTTCTATTTAAAATTTATGAAATTCGACAAGTCGGACAAAATCTCCGCCCGATCGAGAGTCCTACTACTACGGTAGGTAGTTCGCGTAATTGGATTTCGGAATTACTATTGCTTATTGGCATCGCCGTGAAAAGACATTGAGGTTTGGCAATTATAACATGTCGATTGACCGTGTGTACGCTGGGTTACAATTAAACAAGCATGGATCGGGTCTCAATATAATTTAATGTATTTAGATTACGAAATGCTCCCAATACATCCAAGACTAGGTCCTATTCCATAATAAAATCAAAACTCAATTACAAAAACTAATACAAGATTGGGAATACCAAAAAATCTAATCCTATCACGATTACGAATGATATTTAACACTCTATGTCTGATAAGCATGTATTAGATAGTCAATAATAATATAATGAATAGATCATTCTTATTTCGAACAATAAAATTCGTCCACGTTTCTTAAGCCATCACCTCAAAAGTAAGGGTTAACGGCTAGAATTTTAATGACAGGTGGACTCTTCTTGCGGTCTGTCATCATCACAACTTGCACATAGTACAGCTCCCTAATCACTTGAGAATTGGGAACAGCGGGATCTGCTATATGTGTTATCTTAGGCGGCTGAGGAACTTTAGGAATGGATGTAACATTTCTATTCGGTGGTAATTCATTAGTCACTGCAACCGGGGAAATGGTCTCTATACTTGGTATTTCGGTGAGGGGTGGTGTTGATGATTCAGGAACAACCGCCCCCTCATCGGTAGAATGCGTTGGGTTATCTTCAGCAGGAACTCCTTCGTCCTCGGTCTCGTCTTCGCCAACGTCTGAAGCATTGTCAAATAATCTATGCTCATCTTCAATAGGAAGACTAGTAACATCCATTAATTCATAATGGTAATCGTCGTTATCCAGCAAAGCTTCCTCGTCAACATCTAGAACCTCCTCTTCTTCATGCAAGCCATCGTCTGGTATCGGTTCAAGTGAATTTGCACCAGGTTTCCATTGCAAGATCAATTCGCCTGTCTCTTCTTTATAAACAAATTTCTCCAACGGCAATTGGTCCAAATGGACACGTTTTTCAATGCCAAAAGCCGGGATGAAGACATCGAAGGCATGGTCTTTAACTCCAATTACAATTGCTTCGCGAATAACTGGGCCATTCCGTTCAGTCATATTTTGGAAAAGAACACAGAGGAACAAATGATTGCTTTGCTCCGTTGCATTCCTTGCTGCCGCCTTCTTTACATTACAGTGATTTGCCGTTTTTTGAACGGTATCTTTATCGAGGTAAAAGCGCTTTTCTATAAAACAACCAAGGAATACGATGTCTCTCAAAATTTATCCTAAAACTTTTTTACTCTACAAAAAAAAAAAGCCAATTGACAACTTACCGCCAGCTAGAGCAGCTTCCAACATCCGGTGAACAATGATATCAGCATATCGTCGAATGGGCGATGTAAAATGAGTATAAAGAGGAACATTGAGAGCGTAATGGTGATACTTGGCGATATCCAAAGTGCCAGTGCAAAAATACTTGGCTTTTTGCATGGGTTTAATGGCTAAAAGTTTTAAAACCTATCAAAACATAAATATAATTGTAAAAAGACTAATTGAGCTATATGAAATGCAGAACCTTGTCTTTATAAGGTCATCAAGACAGTAGCAAAATATATATTTATAATATATGCGTCGTACCTGTTTCACATCACCGTCCTCGATATCATCAAAAGATCGTTGTATAGCTCCAGCAGAACGACAATCAAACTCATGGCCCAACTCAAAAGCATGTGCAGCAAATTCGTCCTATCCGAGTAAGAAATTTAGACATATTATTATAAGTAAAATGCTGATGCTGTTAATTCCTACTTACGAGTTTGCGGTCAATAGGTGCGGCGTGACGTCTTAGTAATGCTTGTTCAGGGAAAGTGCTTGAGATCTTTTGGGCAACACTCATATTTGCATGTAACATAAACTCTTCGATCAGACGGTTGGCATCTTTTCTCTCTTTTACATGACATCCAATTGGATAGTTTTGTTCATCTACATCAAAGGTAAGTTCTATAGAGTCTAAGGTTAACGATCCCCTCTTAAGACGATTCTCACGAAGACGTTGAGATAGCTCCTGTTCAAACCGGATATAGAAGCATATTAGACCGCGTTTGTCAATTGAGATTATAAATTACTATTAGGAGATATCTTACATTAAAAATCTTAATATCAGCTTCAATTTCGTTGGTAACATAATCATTATACAATTTGACTGCAGGATTTAGGGGCTTTCCTTCAATAACGTCTTGAGCATCATCGTAAGACAACCTGGCGCAAGAACGGATTATAGTTCTCCCAAACCAAGTGTCCATTGCTTTCCCTTCGGGATTCATCTTCCAAATAACTGAAAAAGTGAGCCTGCAAATAATTCGATATTATTAACGCTAATTCCATTTGGAAGCGTCGCAAACCGATGATGCTTTACCTGTTTTCACCTGGATTCAAACTGCATGTTTCTTCTGAAAGTAGTAATGGTAACATGGGTACAGACTTCTGCACGAGATATACTGTAGTAGCTCTCTTACGAGCATCACGATCAAGAGCAGTATTTGGTTTCACAAAATAGCTAACATCAGCAACATGTACCCCTATCTCATAATTACCATCGGGTAGTCGAGTACATGAAACAGCATCGTCTAGATCTTTAGAAGTTGGTGGATCAATAGTAAATATTCTTCTGTCACGTAAATCGCGACGAGTTTCTATTTCCTTCTCGGAAATTTGCCAAGGCGTCGTTGGTAGACACTTGAGGACGTTCTCATTGAAGTCTTCAGATATCACATTGTTGTCTTTAAGTAATGCATCGGTTTCCACATTGATATCGCCGATATCTCCAAGTTGATTAACTAAAGTACCAAATGGATGCAGTGAAGTAATAGGCCAACGTTTGATGCAAGCCTAGATAAAGACATTATTATTAAATGGGGCTGTTTCATAATGTGAGTGATTTGTATTGACAATCATACTTACAACGAATAATTTATTGGCATAGGACTGATGATTCTCAACAAAACCTTCAGGAGCTTGCTCGGTGGGAATCGCAATCAGCGGAACACGCTTGTCCGTCTATATGGAAGTGTAGTTATTAGTTATTCTGCAAGATGAGAAAATACTTGTAAACGTTGTTCTGATCATGCTCGAAGACGAGCCGACTGCAGACAGAAGTGGTTCGTTAATTAACTTCCTATTAAATCACGCCATATCCGCTTCGTTCGGTTAATTATCTAAATATTACAATTTATGGATATAAACCTCCATAACATCGAGGAATCCAAACAAATCCGACCGATTATGGTTTACGGCGTCAACACTGGTGAGATATTATAATACTGTATGCAAATGCTTGATAGCTAAACTATAGACAATCCTATGCAACTTCTCGACCAGATCAAGAATGTTGTACACGCCAAGTGAAACCATAATAGCCAACTAGGAAAAATCGTATTGTTATCACCAAATACATGAAATTAATGATCATACCGGTTTAAACCAAACAATCTTTGGTCGCTCAGTCCTCTCGTCTTTCCTCTCATCTCTTAAAAACTCTCTTGGTTCAATACCAGCAGCCCTATCTTCAGCTTCACGCCGAGCCTTTTCTGCTGCCTCTCTTTCCTTGGTGGCCGTAGAGGATGGTCGAAGCAAAGCTAGAGTACTATTAAACGAGAACCGCAATTTCAAAGTTAATTTCAAACAGTTTGTTTGCCAATCTTTATGACAGTCAAAATCCACTTCTGTAGGAGCGATGAATTATAGTTGTGGAAGGTCAGATTTGTATTGACCCTAAATATTAGTTACCTACCCAGAGAAAAGCTGACCAGGCATGCGTTCCATAACAGCTACTATATGACCACAATATTTTGGTCTCTGTTCGTCACTAATTATATCATCATCGTCAAACAGCAATAAACCCTGTCCTTCTACTTCTACGTCATCCTTCTTCTTGTCAATTTTCTTTCTATCAATGCCAGAACTTTCTTCCTTTTTCCTTTTCTTTTCTTCTTTTTCTTTCTTAGTTTGCCACACTTTTTCCGTATCCAATAATTCAACTGCTACGATATCCCCCTCTAAGGCGCGATTTCTATCCTTGGAGCCGCATATATAAATATCAGCATCTAAAGTCTCTGTGGTTACATAAGCGTCGGAGCGATTTCTCTTATTAATACGCAGAACACCTGATACAAGCTCGTTACATTTCAGGAGTTGAGGTAGAGATGCTTGCGGAAGATAAGGTGCAAATAGCGATTTTCGTTGCTGTTGATTGTTGCCATTTTGCTGATTATTTTGAATTTTCTTCTGTCCGTTAGCATATTTAGAATAGTTAAATGGGAGAAGAGGAGGAACTGATTGGGACAGTAAATATCAGTTAAAATACATTACAAGGGATAAACAATAGACAGAGGTAACTGCATGTTCTGTGTGGTATTTCAATGACACATGTGCAATCGTCGATTCATGTATTAAATATTAGATTTCCTGGACGCTCATCGAAGGTTCAAATAGCACCGACCGTAATACCATATAGCAATATGCAGCTAAATCAAAATGTATAAGCTTACCGGTTCTCCAATTACCATCAACGTTTCTGGATCCAGTACGGCGATGACCGTTCTTATTGTCTGATCCGGATTTACCTTGGCTTTTCTCCAATTCTTTCAAAACATCCTTGCTGCCATTAAGAGCGACGCTATGCCTTCGATGGTGTGACTGAACCGCCGTCTTGAAAGCTACGGGCACGGCTCCTGGAACCGGCGTTGGCGCAGCTGGTGTCAGACTGAAGCCGAGAGATTGATAACGACGATGAGCCTTTTTGCTGCTGCCTTGCGACTGATCATTGGTTAGCCGTTTCCAATCAAATGGAGGTTTTGCCACTTCTTGTTCCGGCTTTTTTTCAGAAAGCGGAACCTCATCTAAAATTTGAAATTTACGATTATTCGAGTTTTTTCCCTCGCCATGCCTCCGAATCTAAAATCTCACCATTCTCTGTCTCCTTTCCCTTACTTTCTGTGTTCTTATCCTTCTGAGCCTTACCCTTGTCGTGGCTCATACGTCTTAGAGAGGAAAGCGTATCTTGTAAAGATTTCTCAATGTCTATGGGTTTGCCATCTTCAGAGTCCGGAATAGACTTCAAAGAACCGCTTGCAGAACCGGTTGCGGGGAAATAGAATGAAACAGACGCGTTTTTCTTGTGTTTATTTCCTACAGGATTAGGGCGTTTATTAGTATTGCTAGCGCTCGATTCATGTCTTCTATGTTTTGAAGGCAAGTCGACTGGATTCTCTTCAGTCTTTTGAGACTTAGGTGGCGCAGGCATAGACTTTATACTAGCAATCATTTGTCGAAGAGATTCAAGCGCTCCGGAGGTGTTTTCCGAATCATCTTTACTGTCTTTGGCTTTTACAGCAGTCGCCCTGGATGAACCTTGAAATTCGCCAAAAGTGGCTAATGACCTTCCACGACGATGAAAGTTTGACTTGTCAGTAGCAACATTGCCAAGATTCAAGTTTTTATTTTTATTTGATAATTCACCCGGAATGGCAGTAGATTTACGGCGTTGATGCTGACTATTGGTTTGTTTATTGTCATTATTATCTTCAGCATCTTTATTCTGTTTCTTCTTATCTTTCCTCTTCTTTTCGTCGCCGTTGTCGTTGCCACCCGCGTCATCAGTAAGGCTACCGGCGGACTTACTTCCTTTGCCATCGACGCTTGGTTGAGATTTATAACTTTGCCTATTTGGTTTTTTGTTACGGTTTAATTGGTCTTCCTGAGATGAAGCCGAGACAGTCGTTGAGACAGCCTCGGAGGGATAAGGAAACACGGAAGGCGCCTTGTTCGCAATGATATCGGGCTGAGCATTAGTCTCGTCGGCCATAATGAAAGACGTTGCTTCCTTTAAACTGTAACTGTTAATATATATGTCGAAATGTCACACAGTCGAGAGTCGTTTAGGAGTATCGTATTTATAAGACAGGACAGTTAAATACTTTGCTTGACATAACTTGGTGGGGGTAAATCCAGGAAGGAGCGGGGACGTGCTTACTAACAACAGTTGGTATATGAAGTCACAGCACAAGGAGTGGAACGAACGAAGCGAGAGTGAACCGAGATGAAAAAGTAAAGGAACGTAGGTGTTGAAGGACAGTTAGGGGAGGTCAGAGTCAAAAAGTTCGTTAAGCGTGACACGAATTTTCCATATAAAGGAAATTGTACAGACCCGCACAACAAGGTTTGAATGTCCGCGAGATTACTGATTACAACCCGGTTTTCTTGACATTTCACCACTTTCTTCAATTTTTGAACCACTGCTTCTTAAGTATTTGCTTTAATTTTTTCTGCTTTAGGTCGTTCCTGTTCAATTATTTCAAAATGACGACCAAATTCTCAAATTTGGTTATGGCGAGCATGTAACCGCTAGAATTCTTTCCTTCCGGACAGTATCACTTTGGGAGTGTATGAATCAACAACGAAATAGTAGATTTATATATACTCAAAGTGTTCACTTGCATATTTCATCTCAAGATTATAGTCAATAATTCCGACACTTTTATGGCACTAGTACTAGTCCAAACGTCGGATTTGTGTGTTGTAGTCGATGATATGCTGTCGTAAGTGTCTTGGAAATAAATTCTTACACTATCACTGTGCTATTACCATTACTATTGATTTTTGACTATAATTATCTCGACAGAATAACTCTCAATTAACCTTACAATTACGTACAACAAATAACACTAAAAACAAGCCTTTGTTTTGATTTTACATGACATGAATAGGTCCAAAATTGGGAAAAGTTACCTATACACAAACTATAGAGAATACTGTAAATTGATCCCAATTATTAATTAATCTGGTTTACAATATCAGTATACATAATATAACCTACTCATGGGGAAACTTGTACCATATGACCTCATTTTATTCTGGTGTGCATGAGACTTGTTTCCATTTCCCTCTGCGATGTACGTTCCTTCCAATAAAGTCTTATAAAATCGATGTACGTTCCTTCTTTTCTGATATTGGAATCTTGGTTAATGAGTGTATTTAGCAGCCTCACATATATCCTTATTCCCATAATATACACTGCATCACGAAGAAAATTAGTTCAATAAAAAGCCTTTCAGACATTTATACATGAATCATTTTGTTCCGCGGTTTCTTATGTTTTGATAGAAACACTTATGAGTTGTTTTTAAATTGTCCCTAACTTAATTAAAAATACTCTACAATGTTTATAACAACAAAACCTCTGCTCATAAGTTGTTAAATAAAGTATAAAGCCCATTCATTACTCTAAACGTTAGCACTTTTTTTTTTTCGCACACACTACAGTCGACTTTCTTTATAGTGCATCTATAAACACACCACATAAAAACTTCTTTATAATCATAAAGTTGCATTGTTTCCGACAGCGTATATCGTTTGCCGTTGCACTTTCATTACAATAATCGGTTTTGTGTAACTTTGTCGAGACGGTGTGCAAAAAAAAAAAAAAAAAAAAAAAAGACGAGTAAACCAGTTAAACTTGAAAGCAGTAGAGATATCCGTTCATTATTTTTTGTAATAATAATAATAACATCCCTACATCCAGATTTATGAATTGCACAAAATTACACATAAGAATAATAAGAATAATAATAATTGTGTTTCAAATTTTTAACATTGAATAACTTTATCAAGCCATTCTTCCTGCAGTGCAGTCTAGTACCAGGACTCTCCAACCATCAATTTTAAATGTTGCAAACCTGCTCTAATCTCACTCCATATACGTATTCTATTTTCAAAGACCAATCTCTCCTTCAGTGCACCCTTTCAAGCATTGTTCTCTTTGCTGATTGCTTAGAATAAGTTTCTGAGCTGGGCACACAACAAAAAGTTTATTGTTTTTTTTAATTAACAATACTCTTTAGAATTTTGAGGTTTATTAGCCAACAATTTCAGATTAAGTTGCTCAGACCAGGGACAAATTATAAGACTGTCTCTGTTAATGTATAATGTACTTTTTTAATAATATGAGAATCAGTTGTTCTAATTTTGGTATTGATTACTTATTTTTTCACCACATTGACTTTCAGTTAAGGAATACGTTTTTGGACCTAGAGATGTTAGAATAAGAAGAGGTTGACAACTTGTTCATACAATCTGATGTTTGTCAAATAACACGAAAATTACACAATCTGTTGTTGTTTTTCTCAAAACCAAAACAATAAATTTTGAGACATAACTATTATGTGTAATTTAGCGCACATTATAGGTAATAATAATAAACAAGATGTTAGATAGTAAAATCATGAATTTACCTAGAACCGACTTTTATCCTACGAAAACGTTAAACAGGTCATGCGACTCGGATGTTCAAAAACATAACTTACACACATTTTTACTCGTTTGAAACCTCTGTAAAAATTGCCCGAACATCTTGTTTCTTCGAATTTTGGTGGCCGAAAAAGCCAACATTAAGTTATAAGGTAATTTGGCGAATAGGCGTAAATTTATAAATTTTCGATAATCACAATCATACTTTATTAAAGTGAGAGCATTTTTCGACTGTACAATACGTGTCCATTATGCGTAAATGTAGAATGGTCGGTGACTTTGGAGACGGGACTGTGTCAGGAATACCATTCCAATAAACCTTTCTAAAGCACAAGAAGCAATAACGGTTTACTAAAATTCAGTTTCACTAAGTTTTTTGAGATTTCATATATGGTCTTAAGTGGAATCTTTGTCTGCCAAAAGTCTTGTAATTATTATCTTCATTCTTCGTGCACGTAATAATTAAAGTAGACCCTTGTATCACAAATGAAGCCTCATTAATGTTATACTCAATTAGTAGAATAATCATATTTCCCAAAAGACTTATTACCCAAATTAATTACGCAAATTAGTATAGTCTTTTTGTATTAATGCAAGGTTTAGAACGGCATATTTGTGGTCGCTGTGGCTCAAGTTACGGATAATCCGTGCTTTCAAATAGCATTTATCTAATAATACTTATTAATTCTTGAATATTAATTAAATTAGCTATATAGAAAGCAAACACCGAAGAACCAACTGCACCAGATAAGTGCATATTACTCACAAGCAAACGACAACTGTGAATGTCCTTAGGGTGGCTTTGACATTCCCATAAAATAATCTTACTCTATGTCTCATCACCACTAGCTTCATCCTCCGTCTCTTCCTCTGCTTCTTGCAGCCATCTAACGAATGGCGTAAGCTATTTATAAAATGGAAACCCAACAGATATTCGTAAATAGCCCAAATGGCAGACATACGCCGGTGCATATTTATAGTACATTAGTATTACCGAATCTCTTAACTGGCCATATATGTCAGGTCTTCCTGCGCCTCTTGCATTCTCGGAATTATACCACTCCAAAATGGCATCTTCCTCAATTATGTCTTGCTCATATAACAAACGAATAGTCCAAAAAAGAAGTTTTGGGTCACAATCTTTCTTTGCACAGTGTCCCTAATAATTGGTTATATTAGCATGATTATTACAAAGATTTCTCTAGGAGAAACAAACAAATTGTACCTGTGATACATTCAATGCGTCGACCTGGTCCGCTTCGGACAAAATAAGCTTCCCAATTAATGGTCCCCATTTATTCAAAACCTGAAATATATGTGCACTATTATCACTCCATTCATATATCATTACATACTATTCTTTCCATTCCAACAAACCTCTTTCACACTTTCATTTAATTTTTCAATCTTGACCAAGTCCAAAATACTTGGAATGACCACAGTGCGTAGATCATGAAAAGTAGTGTTCGTTGCCATGCGAAGGGTATTCAATTCCAATGCAGCTATTTCAACGCTGTGATTTTCATTAAAAGCACGATCGAGTGTTTGCTCGACTTCTCGGGAGAAATTCTCCGTGCTATTCGTATCTCCATAATCGTCGTCATCTGAAATGGACGATCCGCTTATTACGGAAGCTTCTGATCCGGAGTCAGTAAGTGTAACCGTTGATAGGTCATAGGCTAATAAGTGCATTCGTGATTGTCCATATCAGAATTAGCTGCAGCTCAAATTGTAGTTTAAACACTATGAATTTTCAAGTCACTATACATACCAAGTGAGGCGATTTGGGCGTTTCGGAAGTCTTGATCGTCTACAAATAATTCCGTGTCTTCCCATATATTTCCCTTACCATTAACGCCAATTAAAGTTTGATCATAATCTTTTGCAAATTTTTATAGTTAATGGTGTATGATATTACAAGCTTTAGATCACTGTTAATCTTACCATGATCTAAAGACTCCTTTTTATCTTGAGTAGCAGTCATAGATTCGGTGTGTCTTGTGAGCTTTGTGTGGGGGGGCAAAGTAACATCAGGGCCTACTACAACCTATTTGAGGAATCATGTTAACACCATGCGCTAAAAGTGTTGAAAATTAGGCGTTGACGAAGGAATAGAGGTATTCTTACATAGTACGATAGCAAACAATCCTCTTGAACCGCAACATTTTCTTCCAACTGTACTCCTGCTGCAAGAATCGAATTCGATATTGTACAGCCGGCACTTATTTTCACATCGTCCCATATATGCGATCCTTCAATCGTTACATTGGCTCCTATATATTTGTTAAATCATTGATAGTACTGGAAATCTAATAAATAGACGTATACACTGCTACTTTGACCTACCTATTTGAACACGACGTCCGATAACCGAATTATTGATCTTGACATTCTCCCCAATCTCGCTACCACTTCCAATTTGAACATTCTCCCCCAAGACACACGATCTCGACAGTATGACATCTTGCTCTTTGTAAATATGTCCACGTAAGTACTTGTAACTATCGCCTTCTTGTAAATTACTGTCTGGAACTATCGGGTAAGTCCATCTCGACAGCATATCTTTGCTGATTGCGTTATATGTTTGTAAACTTCGTACGCGTGCTGCATATGAGTCCTTTACAACGTGAGAATATATCGTCTTTTTGGGAAATTCAGTAGTTAGAATGCCGTAGACAAAGTCTTGTCTTATTTCTTGCCAGTCGTAGTTATCACTGAATAGCGCGGGAACCTGTAAGATAAAACTTCAGTTGAATTAGGGACACAATGACAAAGAATTCCATAATTGCATTCAGCACAAATATCTCATAAATTGACTTTGCATCCATAGATGAAGATGAAGTTTCAAACTTAACAAAACGTCCCAGTATTTAGTTTATCTCAAGATATCATACCTCCACAGAGCAGATATCAATCTGGCAATCGATCAGATCGTTTCTAATCTGGACGTTGCTGTGTTTATCGAACACTTCCATGCTCATAACCATACGTCTTTTTCTCGGAAACAGCTTCAAAGAATCGTAATAAAGACATTCACTTGTTTTCTCATCAATCACAAAAATCGATGATTCACCCAGAGCCCTGTCTCGAGAACATGAATCAAATGTTGTAAAAGCAAAAGCCTGAGCGGGGTTTGCATTCTCTTACATTATGATGTAAAATGACGCCTTTATAATATATTATAGGTACTATAATGGTAGGGAGTGAAAGGCAACTTACCGTGTTCTATGAAAAGGACTCGCTTCTTTCAAGACCTTGAAGAAGAGATTCCAAGAGGGTTACAATAGGAGCGCATTTTACTAAACATCAACGGAAGTGTACAACGGAAGCTATTATTGCGGATCCTACCATCGTCATTATGGAATCCTTATCTGTAGCCTTTCGAGCCCTTGCGCGTAAAAACAATCCACGAATCAATTCGAGCGAGAACGCAAATAAGTTCTTATTTTCTCAAAAGAATAAAATAGTTACCTGTGGAGCTCTAATGCCTTATCCAATTGAACGTTCGACACAACATCTCCACTTACAAGAATAAAATCAGATGAAATTAAATGTCGATTATCTACTTCTCTCAGTGCATCGCCAACAGACAAGGCAGTTGGAGTGACTATAGTGATTATCTTTAGTGGGGAATATGGTCGATTCCATTTCGATGATCTGAAGACATAATCCGATGGTGATAAGCGTTGAATAACTATCAAAATCATGAATAGAAACGCGATATATGCATACATGTACCTGACGTAATTCTTTATTTGTTCAGGATGATTCTTACATAATAATACGACTTCTTGAACACCTGCTACAGCGAGAAACTCCAGCGTATACTCAAGAAGAGGTGTGTTACATAATGGTAATAGACACTGAATAAACAACAGACTTATGATTCAACATCTCACGGCAATCGAAAACTTTTGAATCACACTCCAAAACCATAGAACGCTTAGCATACTCTAGGCTTATCGAAAGTAAGCGGTCTGAAGCGTTCGTTAAAACTATCAGCAAGTACAACAGCCTTTAATATTGTTTCTGGTTCTAAATTTTTCCGCGAAGGCTTGAGAGCCATATTATCCGAGTGCACTCTATTTTCAATGGCTAACGGCAGTTATTTATCACAATTTAAATTATAGTCACCTGAGAAATGAGTGAAATCTGAAACTAACCAATGCGTTTAGAGAATAGAATCTGATCAACCAATGAAAGATCATGGTTTCAGCTTCGGCCGGATTTCAGCATCTGGTGTAATATAAATAGTAAGGACATCTAAACTATATAATCACGTGATTTGTTTCAATTTGAATTGACCAATAATATTGTAATATGATAAGCAAAAATTAATCTTTGTAGGAGTTTAAAGATGCCTAATATTTTTGGTCACGTGATTGTCGAGTATAATATCCATTATTTGTGCAACTATTATTTCAATTTGAATGTTGATAAATCTAATTGCTTTTGTTTCATTTTTCCTTACATCGCCAACTTGTGTGTTGTTATTGCGGTTTTGTTCTAAAAATGTTAATGCAGAATATCTGAAATGCTTCTCGATACTTCATTAGAATTATCAGACTGTTTACTATCCTCGTGAGCAACCAAATCAATTGTCTCACAATTGAGAGATACTGTATTTTGTCGCATTCTAATAAACAAAATAAATTATATAATGCTTTCAGAGATTTAATGACAAGATCTCTTTTTTAAACACACCTTCAGCTGGCATTTTCTTAGCATATGGCAGCCAGCCTATTAGGTTCTGTAATGAAGCCCTCTCTTGAATTTCTTCTTTCAAAGGGACTCCTTTAGTACTAGGTAAAGCACCGTCTTGCGCCAACAATTGTTTGACCGACTTCACTCCATGGCTCTGCTATCATAAACTTATCGATATCAGTATTATTACAGTCCATTGATTTATTATTATCATAAGTGTTTATGCAATTTTGTATAATGTCGTGCCGACTACTGCGGGAGAGCAGATAGTAATCGACACTTGGGATTTAGACAGAGCGTGGCGCCTCCTCCTTCTAGTTAAATGTCTAAATTACAGTTAGTGACCTCGTTAATTCAAGGCTTTCCACTTACGGGCTATTTCACCGTAGAATGACGTTAATCCTAGATAAGTAATCGCTCTCGAGTGTATCGTCGGTTATTATCGAGGGATTATTCCGATAATCTCCCGTTTGGGGTACAATGGTTTATCACTTAAGAATGAACGCGTTCGAAAACTAACCCTAATTCGCCACTCGGACAAGAGGCAATTATCCTTCGTTGATATACGGATATAACGGTTTCTCAGATATATCGACTGATTTAGAGAATAGGGTCAATAATATAGGTTCAGAGTAAATGCGATACTCGTTTATTAACAATAAGATATGAATTATAAGGATCTTAATTCACCATGCGAACACCCCGACTCTAGCTGAAACTCCTACTGCTTTTATATCTTTCGATCGGACTAATTAAGCTATTTTTAGCAGCCAATTCTACTATTCTATCGATCGTTCTTTAGTATACGTTTAGATTATTACTTTGGTGTTGCCGCACTGTTTCTTCATTTTTTTCGCACAAGTGCTGCACTACCGCTCGTACCACTATTATTAGAAATGTTTGTATTACTTGCAGTAGTGCTCGTACCTTGCAACACTTGTACTCCTACTCCCGAAATCCGATATTACCGCTGATGAATGTGGCTGCGGCACCGTCGGAGGAACGCAGAAATAAAGGAGAGAATACGTCATAGAGCGTAGCATCACAACAAACTTTTTTCTATCGTGACTTAAATGACTAAAATTATACCACGTCACAAGGTTGCAATATAGCAGTTGTTCGCGGCACGGAAGGACAACATTAGCAAATTTATCGAGTTTTTTACGAATGCTGCACTATTCATTAACGTTATTATTCGTCGATTATGTGCGTGATAAGTTTTTTTAGCCAGGAATGAAAATCGATTCCTATTAAAGATAACATTTATCCAATCAACTGGAGTTACTGTAGTTTAACGACTACAAAACGAGTTAGCCATGATATCCGAGTTGACCGGCTTGTAAGCTTGTAAACCGCTTATTTCTTCGAAAACCAAGAAAGATCGGATCCGGTTGCCTCGAGAACACCGAGAACAGACTGCAAATTATTAGAATGACCTGGACAAGCCTTGTTGACGTCACACTATCCCTTAAACCGTAGAAAATTTAATCCCAGAAAAAGTTTTACATATTATTAGCTCAAATTTAATGGAGCAACTCCTGAACAGTCAACCTGTATGTTAACATTAAAACCACATTCTGGCATCCGTCATGTGATCCAAACAAATGACAAAACTTTATAAGAAATTTACCATGCTTCGGCCGCAAATGACAGAACTTTTCAAATCAGCCACGTAATTCATTTTTAACTATGGACGAAACGAACGTACTATATAATATGGGGACATATCCATGGTGCAATTGGGATAATTATGAAGAAATTGATAAACAATTCCGATTATAGCAAAGCGGTACATTGCACACCAAAACTGACTTGCAATTTAGGGCTGACGCAATGAACGAGTTGTTCAAACTTAATAGTCTGTATCTAGTCTTATGAATACTCTTAGCATCGTTTTCTTCTTCTTCTTCTTCCTCATCCAGGTTGTCTACAAACCGTTGGCAAGATGTCATATATGGTACATACTCATTTGCTCATCAACATATTCTTCTGTGGTTTCAAGAGACGACATAATCTTTAACTGTTATATTGAGAGTTAACTGTATGTAATTCCTAGCAATAGTTCAGTATTATCAACATTATCATCCTTGGTTTTTCCTCGGATGAATTAAAAAATAAAGCATTAGAAAGGTATCAGACGACTTTTGAGATTATAATTATGTTATAAAACGTTGGAATTATCGAGCATTGACAATTGATTTCATCCTGCTATTTGTGACTGCTATCGTAAAGCCGGTTAAGACCCGTATTTTCACCACTTCCAAATATTGGTTTGAAGAAATGGTCGTGTGTGAAATGAGAACTTTTTGCAAAATAAAACCAAAACCATGCTAATGGACGTGGTATTCTACAATTGCGCTCAGTACTCTGTTTCATAATAGGCAAGAATAATGCATAAACTGGGAGGAAGCTAATCAAATACAGGAATCGAGCAATCTTTTGTCTAACAGTATCTGGTCGATATGGTTGGAGGTCGAAGAGATATTTCTGATAAGTAGGATCGAATCCAAATTCCTTCGCACCTTCTCGCATTAAATTCAAGTATCTAGCGTAAACAAATAAGCAGTTAGAAGATATCACGATATTACGACTAGTAAATAAATTTCATTACCTTTCACTAGCCTGACATCCTATTTTCACGGAAGCAGGTCTGGCAATCAGTGTTTTGGCAACAATTTTTTCAGCATCACAAGTTTTGCATTCTACATCAATTACAGAATATCCAGCTGGAAAATCATCGTATCCCCATCCACCTTCGGTCATCAATATTCGTTTGAACTGCTCTTTCGTGATTAAATAAGCAACTCCGTGAAGTGTGGGGGGCAGCGATTCTTCGGGGTTATCCGGATTCCATTTAAATAAAGTTCCTGCTTTGCATCGTAAATGTATTTCTCTTGCATATCCTTCAGTAATATTCTGACGGGTTCTTTTTACAATACTTGCGAAACATGGTTCAATATAAGGTGAACCCATCATGTCAAGGCTCAGCCAATATTCGGGGACAGTAACCGCTTTGTGCTGAAGTGGAACTATTTTACGGAGACCTTGAAAGGTTTTCTTGTTCATATTGCTGCCATATGCTGTGAATAATAATTGCAGACTTGGTTAGTCGGGGCGTTGGGGGGGTGCATTCTATGCGATTATGGTATGTACCTAAATACCACAGATGATTATCATCAATCGCTTCGTTGACACATTCTACCGTATGGGCGTCTTTTACCATTCTGTTCGTAAACCGTCTGTGCGAATTGGAATTTTATGCTATCGTTAAGATCGCGGTACAGTTTTTATGTGTGATTGGGGTATTTAGAGGCACAAATTTATGCGGATAGATAAATTTACCCGAGTGTTTTTCGTAACCCAATTTCGGTAATAGAGTTATCACGGTTGCCGAAAACCAATGGTTTTCCCCCGGAATTACTATATTATCCGACTTGGCCGAAATTTAACCAATCTTATCGACGTGAGACTGCCGGAATCGACGCAACATCTGCCGAACTTTAATTTCATCAAACGACTATCCTGTCTTATAGTTTTCCTTAACGGGGTTAGGCTCGTTTCGAACTTTTTATGATTTAAGTAATTGAAAGTATTATGAACTGCCTGAGCGTTGTGTTTGTCTCAATGATAACCCACGCTCACGAACTTGGTACGTAGTCGATAATTTGAGAGATTACTTTGGACGTAAGCTGATGGGAATGATTTGAACGGGTATTTTGGTAGGGACGAAAGTTTATCGGTAACTTGAGTCAGACAAGCCAAAACCTACTGGTTAGAATGTCATCAAAGAGCGAGTAGACGAATAAGTGGGTGATACTAATTATTAACAAACCTGTTTTATGACATGAGCGAGACCATATTTATCGAACACTAAATTCACACTTTGATTCTTTGTTCATTCTTTTGCCAGATTATGCTCTTATAATCAGCACACAGACGTCCTACTGGAAGAACGTTATACGAAAGAGACAAATTTGCGGCTAAAAGAGAAATCGCTGTTTGCTTTGGTTTGGTAATAACTCTTACGAAGAGCAGGCTTTGTGCAGTTCTAACAAGACTATTTCTCAAAAACAGCGATCATACCATACTAACCGGCGATTCAATAATTAATGGATTTCGTTTTATTTATTACACAAGTAGGGGCTCGATCGTTAAGTTCAATAGTAATAACATAGTGTATTAGAAATGAATACGTTCGGAATAGTCAATCATGTACGAATCTATTGTCTTTCTGTTAACGGTTTTGGGATCCGTATTACATATCTAAAAAAAAAAAAAACCACAATGCTGACAACCTCTTTACATTAGGCGAGACTGAAAATATTTCGCGTGTTATAATTCTGTTGCGGTTCTCACACCAATCCGATAGAGCAAAGATTTTATCTGTCAAACTTGCCAATCACATTAAATGGCTTTTACGATCATCCTTCATTTGCCCCTGGCGATCAAGGTTACCAGAAAGAAGGGAAGGAACACAAGATATTGTTGATAGACTATAACTGATACAGGCATTTAGTATTACCACACACAGAATACCTTACAGGTTAGAACAATTACAATGGAGTACTATCTATTATAGAATACCCCACATCCGTCATTGTCTAGACGTCATTTACGTCATGGTTATATAAAAATATATATTCATAGCATTTAGCTATTTGACCCTTCATTATTATATACTACAGGAATGGGTCAGATAATACCTTCAGCTGTGAAAGATAAAGTGAACGGAAGCAATGGTAATAAAGTATCAACGGTTAAGAGCAATGTAAAACAGCACCGTTATCCACAACCAAACACACACGTAAGAACTCTGCTACAGAATCTTAAACACATTGAGCAATATTCTTTACGAGCAACATTCGATAACTTAGCCAAAGAGAACGATGGAGTAATAAAAGAAGATGCTTTCGTGGTGAGTCCTTGTCATTTTCGGATAATATACAACTTACCGATGTGTTAACCAATGCAATTGTTGACTGGCTGATGTTTGGCTGCGCTGATTCTTCTACTTGAAGAATTACCTCGGCCTCCCAGATAAAATAGACATAGGCCCTCTTTTGTATAACTCATTCAAATATCTAGCTACATATCCTGATCTCCGACATGAAGATGAATCCTTTCTTACATTCGACGGCCTAACAATAGCAATCGCTATCTACTGTGACAAAGCAACGAAAAAAATTCAAGAAGACAAGCTAAAGCTACTCTTCGATTCATTCGCAACAATACCGGAGCCATTAGCATCCAACGAGACTGCCAAGGATCCTTTATCTCATTCGGCAACGTCACTATCTGATATGAGTGACCTCTCTTCATTAAAACTCAAATTTGACGATGCCGAAATTCTGAAAATACTTGGTATTGAACAAGAAGGAGAAAGTGCTACAGGAATAGACAACTTCTCCAAGATATACTGCAAGGATATGTTAAGTATTATTACAGGGCTTGCATGGATTATGTCTACTCAAACGATACTGGCACTGAACGAGATTACAGATACTAGAACAAACTTATTCAGCCACTTGCCTTCCGAGGACATTGCTCATATATATGATCAGGTCTTACTGATTGTACAACAAATGGCAAGATATGATTCGCGTCAACGATCACTGTCAAACGTCGATCTTTCTGATCAAGTGGTAACATGGCCAACATTCAAGAAATTTGTTCATCGCAATGTACCCAATATATTCGATGGCTTTCGCGTGTTTTTCAACTCTCAATTCCTTATTGGACAGACTCTTTCTCAACAACGATCAGACTCGCCATTTATTGGGCCAAATTCATTGTATTGGGCTACTCTGGACAAGCCATCTGAGATACTGTCTGACCCGACGAAAATGGCAATACTATCGTGGATGTTACCTGAGAAATCAGTAAGGCGACGTCAGTGGCAGAAGTTGTATTCGGGCAGAGAACACGGATTTAGTATGAATAGATTCCAGACCCGCGTATTTAAGTATCCAGGACCAACATTAGTTCTGATAAATGCTGAGATATCGTCTTCAAAATCAATTAGCCGACAGAATGGTAACGGTAAATACTGTTTATCAAAAGAGGACATCTCCATGTCGCATCCACAGACCCTGCTTTTAGGGGCATACGTTGCTGAGCCATGGAAATCAACCAGTTCTTTAACGACGTGCTTTGGGTCAGAAAACTGCTTATTGTTTGAACTCTATCCAACCTTTGAGGTATTTCCTTCCTCGAAACGGAATACTAATTATGTGTACTATAACCCATCCATTGGACTCGGCTTTGGAGGTTTACCGACTTCCGGAAATACATCTAACAGGCTAGAAAAGCAAGAGTGCAATTCATTCTTTTTGCAATTGGATTACAGCCTTCAAGGTGGACGATATCGTAATGATCCGCTTAGAGAGATAGCTCCCACGTACATGCTCTCTGAAACAAGGAATCATTTTGATATACCATTCGAAGTGATAGAGATTGAGGTATTTGGACTGGGTGGAGATATGGCTAAACAGAAGCAAGAGAGCGAGTGGTTATGGGAAGAGAAAGATGCTAAAAAGAGAGGTTCTCTGAAGAGCAACTCTGGGAAGGTTGATAAAGAGCTGTTGAAGATGGTACGTTGTCTTATTTACTGCGAAAAATTGTTGTGTGCTTCAGACTGAACAATGTAATTTTTTCCTATTTGTAGGCGGGCGTCATTAATGAAGATTTACGGAGAGAAGTAAGATTGTGAATGACTTGGGAGTGTTGCACAAATTTATAATTTCACAAGAGAACATTACTGTTAAATACGCACCTGTAAATCCGCATATATTTAATATTAGTAATAGACTAATTGTAAACATCCAAATTGTGAATACGGTATGTAGAATACAAACAATATCACCACATCAGACATAAGTATGATTGGAACAATTATATCAATTAAATATCAAAGTAGCAAACATATAATAAAACAAGATCCCTTTACAGTCCCTTGAAACATTCTCACAAAATTGAGAATAAAGTTCAACCCTATTGTTGGATTTAACGTATAAATCACGATCATACCTGTACATCTCAAGCTCTATTTACGCCCTTCCCTCCTCGAACCCATTGTCTGTTCTATCCGACTCCATCCTCAATCCATTGTCCCAATAATATCTCTGATCTATTTTCCTTTTCATAATTTCAAATACCAAAAATCCCACACTCGTGGCTGGCACAGCTCTCAAAACTGTTCCCCCAAATTCACCATATAAAAACTTTCGCCAACCTACACGCGAGGCCATAATTTTACATTGTTCAAAAGTGAGTTTGTAGAGTTTCGGACGTTGCAAGTGTTGAAACTCTGCTTGAGCTTCTTCGATTAAGAAGACATTGCGGATTTTATCGAGAGGATGGTCTACAATATGATATGAAATGGCAGCGAGGCCACCGGCCATTAGAACGAAGGTTGGTTCGAGGAATGGCGAGGAAGTTGATGATGGGAAAGAAGAAGGAAAGGATAGAGAAGAGGTTGGTGATGAAGAAAGTGGGTAGAAGGAAGATATAAAGGTGCGATAACATTGTTCTTTTACGAACTCAAAGACACCGAAAAATAGACCGCATGACAGTGAATCCTGAAAAGGTGGTAGTTCAGATATTAGTATAATTTCCCCCATTTTTTCAAGCGAGTCTCCTCTCCCTTACCTTAGCCAAAGTCAGCCCAAACCCACGATAAACACTTGCCCACCCCAATTCTTTCCACGTAGTTCTCGCGTAGTCGATCATGCTTTTATGCTTTCCTGCTAAAAGATCATTCACTTCAAAGCGCACCTTCAGCGAATCCATCGGTGTCGCAACAAATGATTGTGCTGCTCCGGCTAATGCGCCCGATAGAAATACGGCAGAAAAGGGAGGAGGTATGGCTTGTTGAGTCTTATATGATAATGGAGCATGGAAGCGTGGTAAGACTGAGACATAGACTGTATATAATACCCCACCGATTAGGGAATTTGCTATTAGTGGCGGAAGAATGTGTCGAGGGATAAAGGTGAAGCTAGAAGTGGGAAAAGGAGAAATAGATAACGGGGAGATAGCGTTTACGTATAGTTATAAAGTCATCAACAATTCACGGTATTATGTATTAATGTTCATACACTTTCGCTTACCCATAATGTTTGACCGCATGTGATATCATACCAAGACTTGTCGATTGAAAAGAAAATCTGTTATTTGTCGGAGGTGGTAGAATAGCCCTAGCCATAACCAAGTAGTCGACCCTGAGTGGTCTAAAAAGCTTTCATACATCAATAAAGTATATTTGTTACTACTCTTCTGAGTCTTCTCATTTGCAACCTTCCTGTATAATACCTTTATCGGTGTCCTATACCACAACGCTAGACTCTGCAACACTAAAGAGCGAGCTATTGCAGCTGGTGCTCCTATGCTGGCAGGATTCGGTTTACTCTCTGCTGTATCATCTTGAAATATAGACGCTGGAGTGTCCATACATTGAGTAATCGAGAATCGCCAGAAAATATCGATCCATTTCACTGATAGGTTGCAAATTTGTATGTCAAATTGCTGGCTCTAATATTATTAGTATTAGTAATACGGTATCCTAAAAATAACGGCGCGTTGATAATAATTAAATTACATAGAAGTAAGTTTTTTTATCTCTACATAGAGAAAATTATTATATTATAATTATAAGCGGATGTTGAAATATTAACATTTACCTGCAAGAGGATTTGCACATAACAAAATACACATACATCTATATTAATATATAAATGCCGTCGCCCTTTAGTTTATCCCTGGTCTATAATACTATCGTTCTTTTTTATATCACTCTTAGTATTGGATATTATTAGTAGACAATTTACGCCATAAAGAATGATAAAGCAGATAGTTTATTTTTTACATTTCATAATTTTATACTCACGCTGGCACGTCTTGTATTTAATTATAAGAATGACCAATTACTATTACTCAAGTATAAACAGATAATTACTATTACTTATCGAAAACGTATGGCTGCAACGATAACGTTCGCCTCACATTCGAGTGCTTAAATATACGGTAGTCAAGTCACGATCGTGTGTATTGTCCGAAAAATTGGGTGCCGTTCCTTTTACAGAGAGCATTAAATTGATACTATTACTCACGTTTTAGTTGGAGCACTTCCTACTATTCATATGAACAAGGAAGGCTAAGCGGTTCGCACATTAGAAGCATTACAGTATCGAATGAGTTTTTCCCTATAGGCATCGAAAAACAGTAACCAATTAGTAAGAACGTACAGACTCAGTGTCGTATGTCATTGCTCTCTCAGATATACAATATATCCTGTTCTTTCGAGCTCAGATCTGTTTAATGGCTCATGAGTAATTATAAATGCGGGTATACAGTAAATTGATTATTGCAATCATGGCAATTACATTGAATCAAATTGGTTGGTATTTAACATAATAATAAGACGATTATCTTAACGTAAGGACTGATTTACATCAAACCCACCATGGAACCAAGGAACTAAATCAGTAAATATAAAACAAACTCTTGTCGTCATAATAGCTTAGCATTAGTATTAGGTAATAACTGATTTTCCGGTGTGCGATATCCGTGTAAAGTAACCTTCAGGATTTTCGTTCTCTATTTCAGGAAATTAAACGTGAATTCCACTTTTAATGAAATGTATACAAGAATTATGTTACGTAAAGTAGTCGATAAGCTGCTGTATGTTCGTATTTAACATATTTGCTTCTATATCCAATCCCAACCACGCTGATCCCATAATTAATATACAAGGATAAATAATTAAATCGAGTAATGGGACACCATAACACCAAACTAAAACAACCTATGATGAATGTGATTATCTGTTAAACTCGTCCTCTTATCGTGCGGCAAGAGGGATGGTGATGATGGCAGTCATATCAATCTAACCACCAATCGTTGACTGCTTATTGCTTATCTGAGGTTGTTGATAGAAAGGTGTGAAAAGTAGTAATTTAGAATAACTAAACTTTAAGCAACCAACATTAGATAGTACTGAATTTACAAATGTCATGAAAGATAAACGAACTCTTATTCCGTACTTGACATTAGCAAAGATGTGATTACCATAATCCCTTTGTACACATTGCCAAGTGCTGCAGGCTTGATACGTCAGAAGTAGTTCGGGCTGCTTGCACAAGGTCATATTTTCTGATGAAACTACGTTCCGAAATACTCAAAAAGTATTTTACAAAAATGACACTCAGCCTCCAAGTAAGGCCAGGTAAAACATCCCCATAAAGTTCACGCGTGGGGTTCTCAGTAAAAGGTCCTGTTGGCTTTTTTCTTTTCACAGATATTATAGACGGTACTCTTTATCAACTGAAAATCTTTTTGATAATGCAAATGTGATTATGGGAAACAATGGATGTTCCAACAAGATAATGAACTGAGATTTGGCTCGTAGCATGGCAAGAAGATTGGAGGAAGAAATAGTAATAAGATAAACTATTAAGTGGTCTTAAGTAAACTTGTTTACCATATCATAGGCAGTACCGTTTTCGTTGTACTATAAATAAAAACGTCATTCTCATTACTTTTTTCGCGCACTGTATGTCAATATAACAATAATGTATCTTTATTTTTCCGAAAAGTACAATCAATTGGCTTCAAAAACTATTGTCATTTGCATAGCATACATGGGCAGGCGAAATTTTTGAAAAGAAAGACCTTTCACATGTTTTACTAATAAATCCCAGTGTGTAAATCCTAACTATAATTGGCAACCATCATATCGATGTTTTTAACAATTAAAAAACTTGTAATAAAGCGGGTTGCTCTTACCGATGTTCCAAAAAGAAATTTTGTGTCTACAAAGAAACAAGCGGAGCTCGCTAAACTACATAGAATTAAGAAAATACTGTCTCTGTCATTCTTAGAGCACACAAATAAAGTTTCCCAAGTCATATCCGGTCATGTTTTGCAAGAAAGTGCCACTCTGGTAAATATCGAAAACTTGAATTCATCAGACGGCTGGATTTTGAATTTTAAAAAATGTTACAATCTCCGGGAATACAAACAAACTGGCGAAGTTGCTAACACTTTGATTGAAGAACTTCGGAGAATTACCAATTAGAGACATCTACAATTGCGTTATCTTGATGATATGCACAAAATAATTGTAATTACACATGGAGTGGATTACGAGAAACAGTGTCTCATGCTCTCGATTCTGTTAATTAATAACCATCGTGTGGCGATATTAATATAGTATAGACCTGGAATTACAGGTAAGTTAGCAGGGTATGCTGTAAATCGCATGGAGGAATCAAGGACAAACTTCAATCAGCTTTCTTAAACCGTTAAACGATATGAAACGGACATAGTTATCTGCGATCTGTCTTCTAACAATATTGACTGAATGAACATGATCTTGAAAAGAAATCAAATTGTAAAACCGGTCCAGCCTCACTCTTAGAAAGATGCCAAAGTCTCAGTACGGTCAAATCGTAATTTCGGATAATTTTATTGGGTACACGTCATGTGATTGATAATACGCACGAAATTTTACAGTTTGAAGCTAGATGATTGCAATTTTAATTGAGAGGTATCGGTTTCTTATTATTATAGATATTATCATTTTCATGCGGAAAGTGATCAAATAAATGACAATGATCGACATTAGCTTGACTGTATTATGTAAATATAAATATTTATCTGGGCCAGAGCATTAATATCATATTGCAGATTACCGTCTTCTCCCTGAATTGGAGTTACTTGAATTTATATTAGTATATTTGCAGCAGTTCTCTTGTCTATTATAATCGAAAAGCAAGTGAGCTAGATATTATAAACAGTTCCTTCTCATTTAGTTGAATGAAGCGGGGACTGCCCAATCAAGATAACAAACACTGTTACTGAATGTACTTTTGTTAAATAGACTTGACTTCTAATTCGAAATAATAAAATTGACTTTGAAATTCTCACCCTCTTAGTGATGCAACTAGGTAAGCAGGGATTAGGTAATAATTAATAAGTTAAGGGTACCAGCCAGCGAAGCGGTCGCAACGATATAAATAGCTTGTAACTCGTTCCATCAAGATTCGAAGCTAACTACCTTATGTCTTCTCCTTTCACTTCTAAACCATTCCCATGTTGATTTCCATGTTACTGCTACAGTCTCTTATAGTCTCAATTCAAATTCAATAGGATAATGATCAGAAACCCTCTTGGCCAACTTCTTAATTAACAGTTGATCAGAACCCGTCTTCACCCAGCCTTCATCAAATCTCCATGTACCAGAATTTCCAATCCATCTTTTTTCATTCGCACGCTCAAATATAAATCTATCGTATGCTGAATCAGTTCCGTCGGATACTGTGGTATCTGTAGTATGAGGAATTCCCCACACCAGCCCATGATCTTGAAGCAACTGATCTAGTTCTGCCCTCTGTGACTTGTTGACATATGACCCAGCCGCATTTAAATCACCCATCATTATAATTGGCTCGGTTGGAGACAGAAGAGACATTCTTGCCTCACGAGATGTCGAGGAAGAAGTGGAAATAATGGGGAAACAACATGCAAACAACTTTCTAAGGAAAGACACCTTTTCATCCTTATCAACACTCTCAGTTGCACTCCTATACCTCTTCGTCTTCACTTTTTCTTTTCTGGCCGCGTCTTTCAAATTATTCTTAACCTCTAAATACACGTTCTCAACCAATGCTTTAACCTCGGTAAACGCATTCTCAGGTTGTGTGTGGCATCCAACCAATGTTACTCTGGTGTTTGACTTCTTGACATGTTCAAATCTAACTACATATGGATCACGGGCAAACTTATCTCCCAATTTAGTATCGTCTTCAATTACGTATTCATCTAACACCCGCCACACGTTTGTGCGATAGAGATACACATAGCGTTCCTGGTATCTACCTCTGCCTATTGGATGACTAGACACATAGGCATATGGGGTAGATGGAGTTGACACAGAGGAAACAAGAGTGCGAATGACAGCATCATCGTCCTTTGGTGCGTGGATCTCTTGACACAAAACTATGTCATACCGACGAAGTATATCGGATATGATACGCATTAAAGTACGATTGGAGGCCTTTTTTGTTCCAAATGCTTGGATATTAATAGCGCCAATCATTGATATGTTCTCGTTGTAAATATGTCGAATGGATGAAGATGGAAGGGGTAATGTAGCAAGAATATCATCTTCTGGATTAGAGTTCTCTTTCTCGTCCTTTCCGAGTTCCTTTTTCTGTCTACGTTTACGCCGTGCTTTAGGTGGAGTCAATAAGCCTGTCTCGGATTGTGCTTGTGGCTGTTGTTTTTTTTGAATGACAACCGCTTTTTTAGTTGGATTCCTAACTACTATTTTCGGAACTACTAGAGTTTTATCATTTGCTTTTGTAACAACAGCATTCTTTCGCTTAGATTTTCTTCGATTCACCTGTTTCTGTCGGGGTGACGATGCTGCTGCTGATTTGTTCTTGTCACGAGTAGGACTTACACTGGATGCTCGACTGGAAGCATTACTATTTCTTTTGCTAGACGTTTCATTCTGTTGTCTGGATGGTGATGGAGAATTTCTGCGACGACTGGGTGAAACAGGTACATAGTCGTCACTATCACTACTATCACTTTCGGAAGGAAGACTATATGAGGCATCACTATCTCGTCGGCGAGTGCGGGATTTAGGTGGCATGGCTTACCGGAGATAGGAGGCGAGAGGGTGTCATTTGATCTTTTAATATTGTCCAATCAATCTTATTTGTCCCTCACAATGAGGCTTGTTTCAGTATTTTCCATAGAGTGGCTGTCCAAATTCTTGTTGTTTATAAATATTTATGGACACGATAATAACAATGGTTTATCGTGTAGAGATGGATTCAGTTTAACCAATAATAATACATGTAATATGATTCGTAAATTTAACTTCTGGTAAAGTCCCCAAAGCGGACTATGGATGCTGAATCCGGCTGAAGCTGAAACCATGATCTTTCATTGGTTGATCAGAATCTATCGTTGGTTAGTTTCAGCTTCAGTCGGGTTTCAGCCTCAGCCGCGAACCGATTAATAAATCAAGGTAAGGACCAAGAGGGAGATAACATTGCTCCGCACCATCCGACTACCAAACAAATAATACCTAAATTTATGCCGGGAACAACATGACTAAACTTTACGTTCTTCAATCCTGCTGCTAAATGTCGTCGTTACTTAGATAATAATTCTTTGCCATCAACGGCAATAAGGTCAACCTTGACAAACATATGGATGTTGTTTATCTTATGGGGCAGTACTTTAAGGCTTCAATTAATTGACGACTTTCTATACCCTTGTCTAAGACTGCGAATGTGGTATAATTATTTATTTCTAGAGTTTAAATTCCAATACAGTCAACTCGACCTTCTTTAATTCGATTTATACGTTAATTCGACCGCTGGTTACAGAACATTTTTTGACGTTAATTCGACTTGTACGTTAATTCGATCGATAACCTCGGAACGCAAGCGGTCGAATTATAGGCAGTTGACTGTACTATTTCTCCGGAGAGAATCAAGGCTCTCTATCAAGCAATGCCCGGAGGAAGATTCACCGAGCGCCATTTTCATTTCGATCCATTTGAAGTATAGGACCCCTAATTCTTCTGCTTTAGCCACCAGACGGCGAAATTGATAGTGGGTCCAACAGAGCATTTTACGAACGGTTTTCTTTCTTGTTTTTCGATTTACCATATTCGATACCTCAAAAGGAGGAATGATAATGGCATCAAATTCGCGAGTAAAAGATGCGACACTCTTTTTATGAACTTCACTTTGCAGGTGTTAGATATTTTGTCGCATCCAAAATATTGCTTACCAAGTCGCAAGGCCTGTTTCTCCTTACGTTTTGAACTAGAGGCAGCCAGCTTGTCATTTATAGAAAGAAGATTATCCATATGCTTGCATAGACAAATAATTCGTCCAAGCCAAGTTTACCTACATTTTTAGTAGGAGGGTGTACGGACGCCAGGGCCAATGGGTTTCGCGGAGTTATTTTTGCGTCTCATAAACCCATGAAAATTTCCATTCATTAGTTTTGTGATCTTGCAATCGGACGTTATTCTATGAGGAGATATGGGATGTGGGTGATATAAAAACAGTTCCACGTGGAGTTTTAGTTTATCATGTTGTCAAGTCACATGATTTTATTTTTCACGTGAATTAGTTGACAGATTAGTATTATTATTAGTATTAGTATCAGTATTATGTATTAGTATTAGTATTAACCGCCATTGAATTTAACAACTCTAATTTAGAATATCAATATACATTTTGCGCCAATTTTGAGAGACATGTATAGAATAAGTTTTAACAGCCGCAGTTTAAGGGTCATTATTCTCAAGACGTGAGTAAAAGTTCCTTGCAGTTGACTAATGAATGATCTTGGTTAAAGGCGATTTTTTGCAGTTATCTCGTGAAGACAACTGTTTTTCTGGCAAGGGCATTGCTTTTCGAAGTGGGAAAGTAAACTCGTCAAGGGAGAGGACGCTTATCACGCAGACTTTTTATAAATAGTAGTCGGGATGAAATCATAAAGAAAATGTAGACTTCTGATGAAAATGTCGAACTTACATTTCCGAGAATACAAGAACACCAAGTATATCAGCAAGTATTTTATTACGGTATCTACTACAGGTGAATATGTACAAACTATACTAAATTCGAATATATGTGACGCAAATGAAAGCATATAAACAATTAAAGAATAAGGTACGAAATTTATACAATGTTTAAAGTCCAGCTCGAAAGTGTTTAGTGAGGAAGAAATATTATCATTCCTTTCCTCTTCACTCAAGTGACGATTTCCTCTCCAACCGAATTCCGCCAAGAGCCTCTTCACTTGGCGTCATAATTCCCTTAAATACATCCCCTTCATCCTCCCCAATATCTCCTAACAACTCCCCAGTAGCATCTTTAAATATAATCTCGAAACTTCTACATAGATTCTTCAATCCAACCAAATATCCGATATCAAATCCTTTATGTGTGGGTGGATACCGCACCTCCTCGGGTCGATGATCGTTTCCAGTAGTGCAGTGAGCAAAGTCTATGATTTTGATATCAATCTCGGATGAATTGGCTTCATTACCGTCGTAAATGAGGAGGAGACTACTTGCGTAGAAGCGATAATTATCGAGAGAGCGTATGATTTTTGCAAGACACCGGAGTTTGCGAACAATGGTTGGGATGTGGTGAGTAATTATGTGTTCACCGTTGTGCAGAAAGTTGGCCAAAGCCATAACGAACGTTTCAGGCTTCAATGTGCGACCGTAGTATTTATCTTGAAATTCGAATTCATGAGTGGTTGTTTTGTATACCTGTTGATAATAAAGAAAGTATTCCAGCGTGCAAACAAAGAGGTAAGAATCAAATCGAAAAGCGAAGGATCATATTTAATCACTTCATATGACAATACCCAAATGTTGAAAACTCACCTGCATACCACAAATCCTAACTCCCAACGTAGCGCTCGTAGTCTTAGCGCACTTCTGCATCTGACTGATTCGTTTCTCTGGCGAGACGTCGACTCCATGCTGTCTAGTTCCCATCTTCAGGTCCAACACACAAGGATATTGTAATCCTTCGGTCAAATCTTCAAGCAAAATAAACTGTTGCGCATTTTGTTTATCTGCATTATTACCTTGTAACTTGCTTAATTGTGCAGTATAACAATGTAATGACCAAGGGTTATTTGTTTTCGCCCACAGTGAAGACGAAGACGATGCAGGAGGACTGGGAGAAGAGAAAGAAATCTCGGGAAAAGACGAAGATCTTAATGTACTTGCTGGTGTATGACGAGTGGGAGAAGATTGTGACGGCGATAAAGAACTCGAAAACGGTGGACTATCTTCCTCCATGTCGAAGATGCTTTGAGTTTCCGACAAAGTAGGACTACTTTTAAAAGCGGTAGAATATTCTTCGGAATCGGGTTCATGATCCACAGTAGACACTCTTCCTTGAGTTCTTCCACTATCCGGTATATCGATCCCACTCTTTTCATCACATATGTTATCGCCAATGTCCTCATCCGGGCTTTCTTCTACATCCATAAGGTCCTCTATGGCACTTCCAGGCGACGATGATGAGCGCCTCACTGCCTTTTCATCGTCTTCTGTGCCACCACTTTCTGTATAACTACGCGACATCTCCGGCCTGGAATTTTCGAGCGGCTTTAGAGTAGATAGACTGGTCATTGAATGTCGGCGAAGGGCAGATGATTGGTAATTTACTGCTTGGCTTTGTTGCATGCGAGCACGCAGAGCACGGGGAGAGAAAACTTCTTGGAGAACTTGTTGTTGGAGTTTCTTATTAACTCTGGTAGAACCATGCAGGGTAGAAGAAAGATCTTTTCCATGAGTATCTTTATGAACTTTGGAAATATTATCACTAATGTTGTTTCTCTCCACTTTTTTGAGAAACCATTTTGGCAATAAATGTTTGTTACGCTCTAGCGATACTACCGGCATGCTTCCAACACCTTCCTCTTCTCGGTAAGTTACATTCAGTACGCCTAAGTACTTAGGAACAAACGATAATAGTTCAGGATGTTGCATTTCTAATATCTCGTAAAACTGATTCTCGCGTCTTGCTAACGGCTTACACACGGCGCGTCGGGAGAATCGTAAGAATGAGGTATGACCGCCTACTTGATTTGCGAAAGGAGTCAGAGGAACAGCTGCTGGTGAACCTGACATGGTGAAAAGAGCGAAATCGTCGTCTTTGATGTCGTCCTCTTCGTCGTCATTGTCAAAGAAATCCGTATCGGAATCACATGTCTGGGCAGCATTCGAGAAATAATCTGATGACTGATTTGAACCCGGCGAAATTGACTGACCCGCTGTCGGGGTGATTGGTTTGCTGTCTGTTATCATGAACGCCGGAGACTGCGACTCCGAGTCCGTAAGAGACGGCTTAAAGAGATTTAAGCTTATCGAAGTCTTTCTTCCACTATGAACTGTGTTTGTCACTTGTAATTCCTTCACATCTAGTAATGGCTGTGATGTATTACACCGTATCGGCGTGGATGCATTGGGAGACAAAGGTTTGGGTGAATGGTCTGGTGTGGTTGATTTTAACGAACAGACTTTGGTTGCTTGTGCGCGTGTGGCCTTTGTGTCTTGTGATGCCGGTCCCAAGGAATGCCGCTTTCGTAGTACCGATGTGAGTTGCGATCTATGAGGTATGTGAATGGATTAGAGACAACATGTGAACAAATGAAGAGATAAAGGGAAACTGAAGTAGCAGTAGGGAAACAGTTGAGAACAAGAACAAAAGATAAGAACAAGAACAAAAGATAAGAACAAGGGTAAAACAAAGAACAAGAGTGAGAATAAGGAGTGAGACCGTAGTAATATGCCGGCATACGTCTATTGTAGTATACAAACATTTTAATCCCATCTTAAATCACCATCCCTTCTGTCTTCTTATGTTCGTTCCAATTATTAATATTTAAATTTGTCTCATTTCATACTTTACCTTGACACACTATCAGAGTGAGATGTTGGAATTGAGATATTACTGAGTGAAGTCATTGTTGCTTCGCTGTGTACTAGATGAGAGGAAGGTCGGTAGTGTTCGCAGTAAGAAGCAGATGAAAGGGTAGTGGCAGTGTCGCGTAATGTGAGCATCGAGTTTTAGAATTGCGAGTCGAGAGCGATTCTTTGTCTATGAGAGCAATTATTGATTTCTCTCGATGATTTGATTGCACGCTATATATGTTTCGTACGGTTATCTCAGTTGTGCAAGCACAATTGTCAATGGACTAATTTGTCTACTTTGACAAGTCAATGAGAGCGAGTGTATGTTTGTTAATACACTTGTATACAATGTACTATCTGAGCGTATTGTATGTTATAAGCTCTTTACTAGTTCTACGTTCATCTCTTATCTTCCGTATCCAAATGTTCACTCGTCCCAACACCTATGCAAAATATATTTATTATTATTATTGTGGATAAAGTAATATTCAATTTGTTGCTTTTATCTGCAACTAATAATGGGGAATAGTATTGTTTGTTCCGTACTGAGGAATAGAGTGTACGGGATGAACGTCTACCTGCTTTGTGGCGGAAGTAATATAGTAAACAGTAAAGAAAAATAATGAGTATTACAAGTTGTAAAATTTGTATAGTACGTTGGTATTTAGAATGAGTTGTAACGAGATCTCCGTTGCTCGGTAACTTTGTAGCATACTGAAGTGGGCAGACGCAGTTCTTTGTATTCGCACAATTGTGCATGACACCCAGTAGCAGCAAATGGTATTGTTGATAATATGTATCTCCTTGTGTAAGTTTCCTTCTATAATACTCTATAACATATGTATATATACCTTACAAAAGTAACACTTACCACGCAACGGTAGTTAGAATATCAGGAACATAGTTGGACTGGAGGGGTTTATATAGTGTTTATGTTGCGGCTTACGGCGCACAAATGATCGCGTTACACATTTTTTTATACTAATTATAAATAATCAAAATACGTTCTAACGTATTTTATGCAGAAGAAGGCGAATGTTAGAGTCACTGTGGCTTGATAACGGCGTTAAAAAGAGTGTTTCACTTGAAAAGAACAATGTTTTTGTTAACACAATCCGCTCTTGTTCGCCATTATTGTTGCATAGACAAATTGGATGGTAAAACATCTTCGCAATGTTTTTATATTAAATCGGTTAACATTAGACCAGGAGCGAAAAGTGCTTGTTAGATTTTTTAAAAAAGGAAGTCAACCCATCCCTATTCTATTCTGTACTCCCCATTTTCTTTTACTATAAGGGTCTAGATTCATGTGGGGTCAATATTTCTATTCATTACTGACTTTACTTTTAAACAATGAACTTTAACGACATTGCTGTCTACTTCGAGAGATGTTTTCCATGTTGGAATCTTGGCTCTCCATATATGATTGACAAGCCTGGAAACAGATCTTATATGTGGCGGTAAGAGCTTTTAGATGATGCAATTATATGAGTTTCTAACTTATGAACAGTTGTTGGTGTACAAATGGCATTTATTAGCGAGAAGGCAATAACTTTCATTAATTGTATTCGCCAAGTAAAATGGCTTTGTTTGTCTACTTGTGAATCACGTAAAATCTAAAGAATGACCGACCATTGTCACATCGAGCTTCCTATATTGTCTATTAACAATGTACTTGTCCATTTTCGTGAGTAATGACAAACAAATAATAGTCCACCATCGACTCCACGTTCTCTAATCTGGAAGAAACGCACTGGCACCTGTGTTTAATGCGCATGTGTGATCGGAGAAAATCTGTTGGTGAATACAATCCGCTTAAGTGTTACAATATCACGCCACATTCATTAATTTCACACATGTGTGGTAATAGTAACAGACAGTTAATGTTTCTTATGCTACAGAAAGGCGGCGGGAGAGACATCATATCTCTTCTATAGATTGTTCCTCTTACGATGTGCCAAATGGTTCTAATTGGCTTTCAAGCGAGACAGACAAGGTATCCGTAGAAGTTTTGAAGGAAAAATATTCAGTTGAGTTCGTGGGAATGTTCATAAAACTCCCACCCACCATTATTAGCCCAAATTTGTCAAGGCGTAAATGACATCGGTCATGCCACACGTTCTGTCGTCTCCCTTTTTATCATATTGGTGGAACATCAACTCTCGAGCGTTACGACATGCACGGATGGATTGATTGTAACATATTATTTCCTGCATGATCTCCGGAGAGAATCAAGGCTCCATCAAGCAATGCCCGGAGGAAGATTCCCCGAGCGCTCGATCCCACAATTTCGGCACTTGTACATCTCGAACCCTCCTATTTTTTGAACTCTCCCACCAGCTGCAAGTTTTTGAAGTATATGCCTCATTTTGGATAACACGGACCCCTAATTCTTCTGCTTTAGCCACCAGACGTTGGCGAAATTGATAGTGGCCCCAACAGAGCATTTTGCGAACGGTTTTTCGTGCTATCCTTCTTGTTTTTCGATTTACCATATTCGACACCTTAAAAGGAGGGATGATAGTGGCATCAAATTCGCGAGTAAAAAATGCGACACTCTTTTTATGAACTTCGCTTTGCAGGCGTTTGATTTTTCGTCGCATCCGAAAGATTGCCTTATCAAGTCGCAAGGCCTGTTTCTTCTTACTTTTTGAACTAGAGGCAGCCAGCTTGTCTTTTATAGAAAGAGGATTGTCCATATGCTTGCATAGACGAATAATTCGTCCAATGTCGTATTGGCTAATTTTACCTACGCCTTTAGTAGGAGAGTACCATGTGAAGGGTATACGACGCCAGGGTCGATGGAAACTGCATGAATAGAACTATCCGCTTGGGTTTCGCGGAGATGTTTTTGCGTCTCGTAAACCTCCATTCATTAGTTTTGCGAATATATGTAAGCTTACAATCGGACGTTATTCTGTGAGGAACAGGCCACACTTATTGTTATGCCTTTTTTTTTTTCGAAATGAAGCGGCCACAAATCGTGTTTTTTGTCCAGAGTGATGGCGGGAGTTAAATAAAATCAATGAATGAATGAATAAATAAATAAATAAATCAAAACAAAACAAAACAAAACAAAACAAAACAAAACAAAAAAACAATCATACCTAGCAGTTAATGTTTCATCAATCGCCTCATCGATAATGTTTGCAGGCGCTTTGCCTGTGTACATGACAGTTCACACGAATATTTGCGTTCACCCCATATGCATGATCTTTGAAGTCCCTTGTCCTCACGCTCATTAACGTCTTTTCCTACACGAACATCCGTGTAAAGCTTAAGCTTATCTTTCAATAGGTTGAGATTTTATCCAAACCCGTCGTGATGGACCAATATGCGAATCTTTGGTATAGAAACGGCGGTATCGACTCCAGCGGACAACTGCATTATAAACATTCTCGACAAGCCCATCCACCGTTTCAATAGCTGCTTTTGAAGGTGATTTGGATATACTTTGATTGGCAGCGTACGATGGAGAGCTTCCAAGTGTTGTTGTTTGTTGCGTACTGCTGTTGTCCTGATCTTGCGCTTTTTAGTTCTCGCTCGTCGGAGGACGCTTCGTTGACGAAACCCATGAGTTTTGTAATATGGGGGAAGTGGATGAGGTCACAATGGGTAACCACAATTTCTGAGACCATGTCGCGACTTTTCCGTTCCAATAAGGTCTTAAGTTTGTAGGTTGGGAAGCTGAGGACCTCCTTTGCTTGAACCCTTTTTTGGCGGCGGCGGCGGCGGCGGTGGCGATGTTAGCAATGAGGAGAGATTATGTGTTTACGAATGGTTAAAGAATTTGGGGGATAATGTCTTTATTTGAATGGCGGAACCGAAAACGCGCATGAAACATGCAATCTTACAAAGTTAGTATTGCGGAGAAAGGGTGATGCTACTAATGTTTGTCATACACCTATTGCGACAAGTGCTGGTGATAAAAAAATGGCATGAAAAATTTTAATTAACAATTAAAGGTTTCTTATAATAATAACGATTGGGTAATAGCCACTCACACCCCTACCAGTACAAGTGGGTCTCAATATGATGACATGCTCAGTTCCAACCCAAATGATCACTATATCGAGAATTAACTGACATATGACAACTAAGCAATATACAGTGGTTGCAAAAAAAATGGCAAATATATCTTATAATTCATTGTTTGTAACTTACTCAATTTTGATTTTAATTACATCATGTAAAATGGAAATAAAAGCTGGTCTTTGGTGCTATCATTTTACATGTTCCAAATCTTTGATTACTTTTCAACTCCATAGACAATTCAACTCTAACCTCTACACCTGGTGAAAACAAAACAATTTTAGATCAATCACACTATTGAAAGCAACAAGCACATACAAACCCTTAAACCAACTTTCTGATAAAGATTATAGCTTATCACAATATTAGATCATTATGGCTGATATTAGGATAAATCACAAAATTAAAATTAAAAAAAAAAAAAAAAAAAAAAAAAAAAAAAAAAACCAACCCTAAACCTGACTGTTACTCTAACCCTAAACAACCATAACTGAACCTTAATTTTACTGAGGATTTCTGAAAACCTCTGTGCTATTGCTAAGAGCATATATCTGAAACCTCTGAAACATTACTAGAGTGAATTCAAGAAGTTGATCCCAAGTAGATTGGAGCATTCATGGTTTGACAAATGAATAACTATTTTGCAGATTGTTGTAATTAGTTTTGTAGCACCTGTCAACAGACATTGTGAGTGTCGTGCCGACTACTGCGGGAGAGCAGGAAGTAATCAACACTTGGGATTTAACTAGTCTCGACGGAGCGTGGCGCCTCCTATTCAAGTTAAATATCTAATTTTTCAGTTAGTGACCTTGTAATCGCAAGGCTTTTCACTTACGGGCTTTTTCATCGTAGAATGACGTTTATCCTAGATATAGAATCGTTCTCGAGTACATCGGCGGTTATTACCGAGGGATTAATCGGGTAATCTCCCGTTTGGGGTACAATGGTTTATCACTTAGATTAAACGCGTTCGAAAACTAACGATTAATATTCTAATTTGCCACTCAGATAATTGTGGGACAAGAGGCAATTATCTTTGGTTGATATACGGATAGAACGGTTTCTCAGATATATCAACTAATATGTTCAGAGTAAATGCGATGCTCGTTTATTAACAAAAATATATGAATTATAAGGAATATATCGACCTAAATTCACTAGCGAACGTGAAATATAATACACATAACACACCGACTCTAGCTGAGACTCCTACTGCTTATATATCTTTTGAGCGGTCTAATTGATCTATTTTTAGCAGCTATTTCTATTATTTTATCGATAGTCTAATTGTATACATTGAATAACTGAAGCGTTTGCCACTGTCCTTTTTCCGTTCCGTCAGTGCCCTGGCACTGCTCGTACTACTAGTGCCGAAATGTTCGTAACCACGACAGTGCCTATGCTGAAATCCGCAGATGCGCTGGTGTTACCGCCGATTGATTTGGACTGCGGCACCGTTGGAGACGCGCAGAAATAAGGAGAGAATACGTCACAGATTGCGGCGCATCACAGTAGATTTATGACAGTTGCTTCAGCTGATATAGTGATAGGAGTTGCATAGGGATTATTTTCATGTGTTAGGTAGCCTGCATAATATATCAAAGTCCACAAGGCATCATCATGGTTATTGGATAGGTCAGTATAACTGAGATTATTTTTAATCTTAATGCTGATGGTTTCTTCTTGGAGCAATTTTGTTGCTTGATCTTTGAAGGTTTTTCTTGAATACCAAATCAGCTTTTTGATTGTAGTGGTGGTGGATCCTACAGATTTTCAGCACTCCATAATTATAATTGCAGATCAAATGTTTCTAAAGCAAGCCATACAATGCACAACATACCTGTCTTAGGCCAGTATGCCTTTAGAATCCCTTCATGAATGAAATTAACAATTGCCCAAGGATTGCAAAGATAGATGTCATGTATATTCCTATAGCCACCATACCACTTTTTGACTTCCTCCATGTCCATGCCCCTTTGATGATGCTCAAGGAGAACATTGACTTCCCTTTCTGTAAATCCAAATCTATCTGAGAACAAATCATCAAACATTGAATATACTACAATATTATTCATGCCTGACAAGTAGGGCTTTTAAAATATTACTGTCATTACTCTGCATTGAAAAGACAATTGCATGTTAGTGTGGGGTCCATTAATTAAATAACAGTAGTCAAGAGAATACTTGCCTTGAGAAGACCTCCAAGGAATGAACTAAAGAAGTTGCAGGCTGTTTCATAGTATTTATTATGGAAAGCAACATCAAATGGATGATCATAATCATTAATCAAGACAATGCACTTGCATTTATAGTATTCTTTCAAATAACCAGAGAGTGTCTTAAGGGTGCATAACAGATCTGTATCTGTTGCAGACTTTCCACATATTGAATCAAAACTGTTTCCTTTCAAGCTTTCTCACTGGTCTGCTTTCTATTTAATAGTGTTAAAGTTGATGGTGCAGTGTCAAACTTGCCTGTAATTTTGTGAACTGCTGACCCTTTTCTTGGAGCAGGTAATTATGCTCTTTGTATAGATCTGCTAGAACTGAGCCTATTGTTCATTTCATATGATTCCAAGTGGTGCAATCATGAAAATCCTGTTTAAGGAATATTATCAATAAAAAAAACTGTAGTAGCAAAAAAAACAAAACAACTTGAACTAGATGTGATGTAACAAACTGATGCCATACTTTTAGACTGATGAATATGACTGGATACTTGCAAAAGTGCTCTTTGAACAGCTCTAGCTGATGTTCCTTACTGCTAGGAGTAATAAGAACAGCAAAGAAATTCTTCAGCATTATAAGATTGGTGGTTTTGCCAAAATGTCTCAGCTGGACAACAAGAGATACAAGCATATTGCTATCAATGAGGTCTTTGACAAGAAGAGTTTTGTCAACCAAGGAAAAACCCCAATTCACCATTTTACTAAAGTCATCCAATCCAACAGGGACATCTTTGCCAGCATAGATTGTGGCTGCTCCATCTTTGGTTATATTAAAGAAAATCAGCATTTTTTCTCGATACAAAAGACAATATAAAAAAAATCATATACATACTTGATACGTTTTTGGCATAAATGTGAGTAAGTGAGGCTGTTCTCTGAACCACCACTTGAAATTGAAAATGTTCCAAATAGCAAAACCTGATCAGATATTAAAATTTACAAATCAGCATTTTGCAAAGATAACACCAAATCATCACCTTCATCATCGAGGTGGGGCTTCTTCAAAGCACATTCATTTTCTACAATTACAGTAAATACATAAAGAGAAGAGTGAAAATCAATTACTGCAGGAGTTGTGGTGCTGGCTGACTGCAGTCTAGGCACAAGTGAGAATAAAAGTCAAGAAATGACCAACGGGAAGGAAAAATGAATGATAAAAAGATAATAGAGTGAGTATCAGACACAAAATAAATGATTAACAATAAATAAAGCTAAATAGTTGGGTGGTCAACACTAACAGCGTGAACGAGACGACAAATTAGATGTTAGAATGAGTGACAAGAAATGAAATCAAGAACTTGTAGTTGCGAATGCAAAAGTACAAGTGAGGTAATGAAAAGATCACAACGAAGAAGCAGTGTGAGATTAAAGCTATACTAAGGCACGTATTGTACAAAAAATAGCGGCAATGAGCAGACCGCAACGAAAAAAGCAGTAGGCGACATTAATAGAAAGGAATTATTTAAAGCTATACTAACAAGGAGCGTGGTGTATGAAAGATGGGTTAGCACATATATTATGTTTGTTAACTCGGCACATACCTTGTGCAAACGTGTCAAATAGTTTATTTTTAAGTTCTTCATATTCCTCTAGTGTCATCAACGATTTAGCATCTTCCGACTGCCGCAACTTGTTCTTTAGGGTGCGGTAAATAGTATGTGAATGTTTTTCTGCGTGTTAAAATATTGTCAGAGTTAGAACTGGTCTACTTGTAAATCTCATAATGGTACTTACGTGTGAAAAAGGGTTTGCGTCTCTTATAACCCTCCCTCATTTATTGCACGCCTGTCTTTTATACATGATAAAGTGTATACGTATAAACTAAATTTAGCTCGGGGTCCAGACATTTAACTTTCTGATTAACAAACTCCGTGAATTACATGCAGTATTTAGATAGAGTTAAATGAGCTTTAACATGTATATGTAGTTCAGCAATAAAGTTGTATTTATTGAAAAAGGGTTTGCGTCAAAAGTAAGAAGGGAGGTGAAAAAAAACCCTTAGTGACGTACTTGTCTTAAAAATAACACAATAAAAGTAAATTGACGAATGGCGTGTTGCCATGATTTTAAGTTGTACATATTCCCTATCGCTATATTGGCTGAGGGACTATTATGATTGGCCAAAACTCACCATTGATTATTAACCTTCTATAAAGAACTACTTCATCCTCTGAATCCCATGCTATTCCATTATTCGACAAGATTTGCTGATCTTTGCTTAATATTCCTGTCGGACTTCCCATTCAATATACGTTTCGGGAATAAATTCGTGTTGATCTTCGATGCGTTTTTATAGACCATCATGTTTACCATACATAACGTCACCTTACGTAAATACATACAAACATAACGTCACCTTACGTAAATAAGTACATACATAACGTCACCTTATGTACATACGTATTCTACTTAAATCCCTTCTCTTCCACCTTTTCTTCACCTTTCCTTCCACCTTTCCTTCCCTCTTCCTTCCCTTCTCTTTTCCTATTTTTTCTTTTTCGTAAATGACTATTATATTAATGTTCTGTCCTCCCCGCTGCTCGCTCGTAAATTTTATAATAGCACGACATGCGGCACTTTTGCATGTAAGTTCTTTGCAATTAATAAGACGAGTGAATGAAGCATTTTTCGCATTATTACCAATCATATTAATAATGTGTGGAAAACGATCGTTCTCAATGATCTATGAAAATGAGTAGTTGACAATTTGGGGGGGGGGGGGGGGTCAAAATTTGAGTTTTGTATGGAATAGATACTTATGAATGTTCTCTACCCTGCGTCTTTTTCCTAACCTCTAAGTAAATAGTAAAGTTTTTCACGACAGTTCGTTAGGACGACAAAGGAAGGTCACCATCAGTAGCAACAATAATGCTTAGATTTTGGGGTGGTATGCGAAATGGGGACAATCACCATAGAAAGGCCCAATTTTTCGAAACGATTTCAGCCAAATTTTCCACTGATTTTAATAATCTTACTTTCGGAAACGTGGTCTGATGATCACCTATTTGCGAATATAGTTCGTATAATTAATAATTAGTAATGGTATGTAAACATTTACAGCTTTCGTTCTATGATATAACGACTACATTAATTCACCTTCTGCTTTATTTTTTCTTAAAAAAGTTTAATGTTTATTATGCCAATCAAATCGTGGAGTACTGGAA